TCAGCAGGAGGGGGAAATTTCTGGTCAATCTAAGCCACGACATGCATATGCTTACAGTGCCATCCTAAACAGAGTTGGAGTTAGTGATTTAACTCCTTTGAAAAATAATGCCAGTTCTATTTAGATGGTTTTGGCACATAGGCTATGAAGCTGGTAGTAGTTAAAATTTCACCTATGCAGACAGTCCAGCAAAAGTCAATCATGACTCAATTGCAGTGATATCAATGGGAGTTAAGTCTTCTGTAGGACTAAGGATCAAGCTAGAGGTGACAGAGGCATCCCTATCGATTTGGGTCCTCCTGTTCACATGTAAATAGGAGATAACTTTGGTTTTTCAATTTCAATTTATTACAGGTCTATATGACTGAAGTCTTGACCAACTTTGGTTTTTAATAGACAATGGAGTATGCAGCTTAACAGAGCTAGACCCTCTTTTTCCCAATCCTTACTTTGTTGTACTTTGTACCTTGAGGAATTTTTCTCTCCACTTGGTTCGCTTCTGTTATGAAACTGTGCTGGAACAAATCTTTACGCCTGGTGTATGCTGAAATGAGTGATAGGGTCTAGATGTCTTTCCCCATCTGCTTGACATATGAATCAGTACACCTAGATGTGATGGTCTGGTTTTGACTTTTGTTATAATTATTGCTTGGAAGTGTCTGTATATTGAAGAAATCACTTCTGCTTAGTATCTTTCACCAGTATCTACCTGCTGTCAACATACCTGGAAGAAAAGAAAGTACAGTCTTTATTGTCTAAATACTAGGTTCGTTCTAATGAAGTTTATATTCTTCCTATTTGTTTTCAGAATTCTGGGATTGAGAAAGCTTTTCTCTTTGATGTGGTCAGTAAAATTTATATTGCAACAGACAGTACCCCAGTGGACATGCAGACTTATGAGCTCAGCTGTGATATGATAGATGTTGTTATTGACATTTCCTGCATCTATGGGTAAGTAGAGTGTTTCTGTGCCATATACTGTGTCTGTCTCTCAGCAACCTGTATAGTCAAAAGTATTTACATGACAATGAAAATGCAAATAGATAAATCCTGGCTGTAGAGGTTTTTTCTTTGACATTGCTGAAGCAGTGATGTCATCTAAGTTTTTTGTTTCAACTCCAAGTAAGAGATTGCTGTCCTGAATAGAACAGAACATTGAACATACCAGTGGAAAACATGCAGTCCTGTTAAGTGTGCAAAGTTTGACAAATAAGGAGAAGCTCATATTCATCAACACGCTGTGTGCTTCGAACTGGGCTGACTGAGTAGCATACTGGGGTAGAGGAAGACTCACTACAAAAATCCAACTGAAAGATCACACCTTTCTATTGTGAACCTCAGTACCTATGCCTTGATGTGGTTTTGCATGTATAGCATAGAAAAGGCAAGCAGTTACTCTAAGCCACTGCCATGCCCATAGGCTGTCATGCTTCTTTCCAGGAACCCCACAGATTCTGACTGTCTGTGCCACTTGTTGGCTTAGTGGGATGTTCTAAATAAGGTTTCCTTGCACCCTTTGAATCTCTATTGTAGTTCTACCCTCTTCCTAGCAATCAATGAACATAAGAACCACCCTCCTGGACCAGACCAGTGGTCCATCTAGTCCAGCATCCTGTCTCACACAGTAGTCCATCAGTTTCTCTGGAGGGTCAACAACAGGGTATAGAGGCTGAGACCTTCCCCTAAAGTTGCCTCCTGGCACTGGGATTCAGAGGTTGACTGCCTCTGAATGTGGAGGTTCTCCTCAGTCACCATGGCTCATAGCCACTGACAGACCCATCCTCCATGAATCCATCTAATCCCCTTTTAGAGCTGTTTATTCTTGTGGCCATCACTACTTCCTCTGACAGAGAATTCCACATTTTAATCACTCTCTGGCCAAGTTCAGACTGGTAGTTTGCCCCGATATAGGCACGAGCCAGAAACATTTCACAATAGGATTAAAGGGGCCGTTCACACAGGCACATCTATCAGGCATTCCCCAGCCGTACTCAGCCTGTCTTGTAACGCTTCCCTCCCAAGTTTAAAAGATACCAGGTGAAATTGGTAGCAAACCCTGGAAAGCGCAATTATCCCGTGTCCATCCCGTTTCCCAGAAGTGTGAACGCGAAAAGCCGCGATCTGGTAGGGATGCGCATAAGTGCACATAACCGGATTACCAGAAAAAGCCGCTTACAGCCACGCCTCCGGGCCAACAGTGTGAACGCTCCCTTGCGCCTCCTCCCCAGTATGCTCCCACATCAGTCGGTGCAGCGTGACCAGGAAAACCCAGAACATTTTGTTCCGGGTTTTTTTTGCCATGACTCCCTCCCGCTTCAAACTGCCAGTCTGAACTCAGCCTCTGTGTAAAGAAGCAGTGAAATCTTTGGCACCTTGCAACACAGGCATTGCTTGCAGTTGAAATGGCTGAGGGTTGGGGAGAGAACCTGCAGTCCTCTTGGTCCACCTATGAGTATTATATTGGACTACATGTGAAAGTGGTCTGAAAGAGTGAGCTTGTCTGCCACTGACTTAACATGTTGTAGATGGAAATTGAGTTAGTGTTGTCTTCTGTTCATTGCAGTTGAAAATAGTAATGGAATGGTACACTTCCAGTACATCATGTAAACAGGTTATTTCTGTTCAGGGTGCTATCACAACCTTTTCTACAATACATTGCAAAGCTATAATTTTAATATAAGCACCAGATTCTTAATTGTATATAGTCTTCAGAATCAAAATAGGACCTTTTACTCTGGAAGAGGTAAATGATGACTTTTCCCCAATTTTACCCCCGCCCCAACCATCCCTACCCCAAACTATTACTATTACTGTTTAGGCTGAAAGAAGATGGTGGAGGAACCCCATATGACAAAGAATCAACAGCAATAATAAAACTAAACAATACTACTGTCCTGTATTTAAAGGAAGTGACAAAGTTCCTCGCTCTTGTTTGTTTTGTCAGAGAAGAAAGCTTTGAGAGGAAAGGTATTTAGCTTCTTCATTACTTTAGTTATTTATAACATTGTAATATCCAAAATGTTTTTGAGTTCTGATCCCATTTATAATGTTGGCTTGCTGGGTTCACTTGCTGGCTTGGACTCATCTGCCTGTTTCTATCTGAGGAGTGCAACTTTCTCTGGCGGTCCTGGTACAGCAGTAGTTGCCAGTGGGAAGAAGCTAGCTCCCTGAAGGCAGTCAAGAGTTGCTAGCCTTTTCTGATGACTCCTGGTAGGAGGTGCCTCTCCCCTGGTCTCCCAGTTTTGGCTAGCCAGATAGGCTGAATGGCTGTGCTTGTTAGAGAGCAAGGACTCGGTTTCTTCATGACTCAGCACAATGATTTCACTTCTTCAACAGCATTTCCGATTTATTGCCTCCTGTTTCTTCATGGGGGGGGGCCTGCACCTTTGCTGCTGGCTACATTAGGGTGGGCTCTGCTTCCAACAAAGCTGACCCTCCCCCCACACTCTCTCTCCAAGGTTCTCTTTTCAAGAAGGAGTGGGAAAAGCCCCAGTTGCTCTAGTGTTGTCTGGACAAGCAGAGTGTTGGTGGGAATAGCTGCAGGGCAGGCCCTTCACCAAGGATTGTGAACTCGAGACTGGAAAATGTCTGGAGATTTGGAGGTGGAGCCAGAGGAGGAGGAGGAGGACCACAATGTATTATAATGCTGTAGAGGCAACCCTTCAAAGCACTCATCTTTTCCAGGGGAACTGATCTCTGTAGCCTGAGAACCATTTTTTACTCCAAGAGAACTCCAAGCTTCATGCACAAGAAGGCAACCCTACTCTCACCTTCCATCCCCACTGCAGCCCTGAGCATATTGGCCTGGGCTGGTGAGAGTGGGGCACAGGGGTACGTACTTCAAAGGACCATGGGCATGCTCCCCTGCCAGAAGAGAACCTGCCCCCCCTTCACCTATCCTGTTGGGATATCTGCACATGCATGTACACACACACACACACACACACACACACACACACACACACACAGGCTACCTCAATGATATCCAAACAATGGGAACATTTAGTAGAGGAATGGAGAGCATTGAGCAATTTCACAAACTCAAGGAAAACACTGATACCCCTAAAGATGACAAAAATATTGTTGATATACCTAAGGTACAACCTTAAGTGAGTCAGGAAGGAAGAAAAGAACTGGAATTGGAAAAGAACTGAAAGATTGGTGTTTCCTCAAAATTATGCATAGATTAGCAACTATGGGTGCCACTATACTACCCATGATTACCCCTTGGATTTTACAGTAAAAAAAAAATCGCAAAGTGAAAATAATTCTTTTTCAACACAGTTTCTATTAGTTGCATTATAAAGTAAGTGCAGAAATATAAATTATCTTTTCTCGAGGAAGGATTCAGCTACAGAAAGAGCCTCCTCATGTGGTTAGTTCATGTATAATTCTTTTACATCAAGTGTGGCCAAAAAGATCATCATTGCCAAAGGGTATACCTTCTACTTTTGAAAGGAAATCAGTGGTGTCTTTAATAAATATCTCATTGTAGTGACAAAAGGCCTAAGGTTATATTCCAAAGATTTGGTCAAAGGCACAAGTATAGAATTGGACCTAGGAACAGTTGGTTTGTCTGGAGGAGGCTTGTCAGGCTCATAAATCTTGGACATCATGGGAATCCTAGAAAATTCATTGATCAAGAAGAAAGAAACAGACTCATCAGTATTACTTAACACAAGACCCTCATAAAGAACTATTTTAATAACAGAAAGAATGTGCTTGTGAGAGATCATCAATAAGTCCCTCTTGGAGGGGCTGTTCCCAGAGGCACTCAAGGAAGCAGTGGTGCACCCTCTCCTGAAAAAACCATCTTTGGACCTGGCCGAATTGGCCAACTACCGGCCAGTGTCCAACTTGCCCTATCTGGGCAAGATAATAGAGAGTGCTGTGGCTATTCAGTTACAAGGCTTCTTGGATGACGCTTCCATTTTAGATCCCTTCCAGTCCGGCTTTCGCCTGGGCCATGGGACGGAGACGGCACTGGTCGCCCTCATGGACGACCTCTGAAGGCATCTGGATCGGGGCGGATTGGCAGTGCTGTTGTTAGACCTGTCGGCTGCATTCGACACGGTTGACCATCAGCTACTGATCCACCGCCTTGCCGATGCTGGAGTCCAGGGACTGGCCTTGCAGTGGCTTGCTTCCTTCCTCCAAGGTCAGGGACAAAGAGTGGCACTGGGAGACCAGCTGTCCCAAAGGCACCCACGGGAATGTGGAGTGCTCCAAGGGGCAGTGTTATCCCCAATCCATTTTTAAACATCTATATGCGCCCTCTTGCCCAGATTGCCTGGAGGCATGGCCTAGGATGTCACTAGTATGCGGATGACACCCAGCTCTATCTGTTGTTGGATGGTCAATCTGACTCGAGACCGGAAGATCTGGACCAGGCATTATAAGCTGTGGCTGGTTGGCTTAGGCTGAGCGGGCTAAAATTGAATCCGATGAAGACAGAGGTCCTGTGCCTGAGCCAACGCAGTCCAAGGGTAGGGATCCCACTCCCAACCTTCAATGGGGCTCCTTTGGTGCCAACGCCAGAGGTTAGGAGTTTGGGAGTGCTCCTGGGTGCTTCCTTAACAATGGAGGTCCAGGTAGCCGCCACTGCCAAATCAGCCTTTTATCACCTTTGACTGATCAGGCAGCTAGTTCCCTTCCTCAAACGCAACGACTTGGTGACAGTGATCCATGCTATGGTCACCTTGAGACTAGACTACTGTAATGCCCTCTACATGGGGCTGCCCTCGTCTCAAATCTGGAAGCTGCAGCTGGTGCAAAATGCCGCAGCCAGGCTTTTGATGGGACTCCCAATCTGGGAGCACATCCAGCCTGTGTTAAAACATTGCACTGGCTGCCGATAGCATACCAGATCCGTTTCAAGGTACTGGTTCTTACCTTTACAGCCCTTTATGGCCAGGGGCCTACATACTTGAGGGACCGCCTTTCCCCACAAGTACCCCAGAGAGCACTGTGATCAGGGACCCAGAACTGGCTGGCCCTCCCAAGCCTCAAGGAGGCCAGGCTAGTAACAAGCAGAACCAGGGCCTTCTCAGTGGCAGCTCCACTCTGGTGGAATAAGCTCCCAGAAGAGATCAGGGCCCTGTGGGACCTTTTGCAGTTCTGCGGGGCCTGTAAAATGGAGCTCTTCTACCAGGCCTTTGGAGCCACTACCATTGCCAACAACCGACAGCCTAAGGCTAGAGAGCCCTGTCCCTCCCTGGGACCCTGAGAATAGCCTGAGCTTACCACCTGAGATGGTCTGAGATCAAGAAGCTGACTGCGAGAAGAGAGAACCGCCGCTGTGTAATTAGCAATACTAGCATTTTATTATGTTTTTAGGACTAATTGCTTTTAGGATTGTTTAAATGTTTTAACTATTGTTGTCTAACTTATATTTTATGTATTTGTAAATACTATGTTGTTTTGTAAGCCGCCCTGAGCCGGCCTTGGCTGGAAGTGCAGGGTAGTAATTTAATAAATCAAATCACTCATATAAAATCTTTGTAAGGTACTGTCCTATGGGTCTATAAAGGGATGCATCAATAAGTTCTCTCTCCACCTGCTATATAGGTAGTTTCAGGGGGTTAGCTGTGTTGGTCTGCAGTAGAACAGCTAGATTCAAGTCTAGTAGCATCTTAAAGACCAAAAAGATGGGTGTTTTTTTTTGGGGGGGGGGAGGGCTTTAAACCATCAAAGCTCCCTTCATCAGATACCATCTAGCTCAGCTCCTGTATGTATTCTGCAGTGTCTTGAATGACCAATGCTTCCTCTTTGTCACTTGGTTTTATTACCATAGACCTGTCCGTACTAAAGTCATCCAAAATCATTTGTTCTTTATAAATTGGGCTACCTAAGTCCATTCCTTTTCCAGTCTGCCAGTGTCCCTAAGTACTAGATGCTCAAAGGTGAGACTGTTCCGGGGGGGGGGGGGGGGGGGTGTGGGCCCGGGGAAAAAAAAGGAAAGTTTGGTTTCGGGGGGGGGGGGGTAGCTGTGCTGGTCCGCAGTAAAAAAAGGCAAGATTCGAGTCCACCTTAAGAGACCAAGCTTTCCAGGGTAGCTTTCAAGAGTCAAAGCTCCCTTTGTCATGTATAGCCTCTGATGACTCTGAAAAGCTTATACCCCTGGGAATCTTGTGGGTCTTCAGGGTACTACTGGACTCAAAAGGTGAGACTAATTAAAGTTACATATAAGGGATTAAAGGATCATTCCCCCTAGTATGTTTTCATACCTCTGTTTTTCTTTGTCTCCTTCGTTTATGTCTGATAAACGATGCTACAAAAGAGATCACCATAATGGTCCTCTGTATTCAATTAAATTAACACTCCTCCAGAATTCACTGATTGTAGCCAGGGGTCAGTTAAGTGAATAATGTAAGCTAAGCTAATATACAGTCTAGAAAGAAGTTAATTGGTTCATGACATTTTGAAAAGTTCACTTTTCTTGTGGTTTGGTTTGTGTTATTTCTTTAGGACTGATAGACTACAACTTCCATTGTTTCCGAAAGGCTATACATGAAGTATTTGAAGTAAGAATGAAAGTAGTGAAGGCACGGAAGAATCAGAACCAGGTGCAGAAGGTCAAGAGGGCCACTACTAACGGCACACCTCGGGTGCCACTCTAGCTGGTCTCCTTATGTCACTTGTAAGGCTTCTTGCTTCCGGTAATGATGCCATCAGGTTCCACAGCCAGAGGAAGATTGGGACTGATGTTCTCTGAACATGGATTTTTATGCACTATCCCCCAAATTGTATCTCCTGTCTAGTTGTTCCTATTAAGAAATATCTGACAGAGCTCTGTGCATTCTTTTCATGTTTCATAATGGAATCGGACTGTTGATGAACTAAGGTGTGTTATTTTCAAAGCCACTTTTGTGTATTTGGTTGGGTAGAATATGTACAGTCATTTCTCTATATGCTGCATACAAATGATTAAACAATCACAACATAATAAGATGACTTTTTACAAACTTGAGAGAGTTAATATTCATGCCATACATATATATATATATATTTATATGTGTGTATATATATATATTCCAGTTTGTAAACTGAAGTTTTATTTTGGAGTACAATGGCAATAAAGAAATATTTCTTGGAAGTGTTTATTGGTACATTAAAGGGTTTTGTAGAAACTTCTTTGGGCCAAAGGCTACCTGGACTTCTGTGTCATAATGTCCTCTCAGTTCTGCACACATCGTTCTTGACCTTTTTAATAAGACACTTGAGAAATGTAAACCTGCAATAATTCACAATGTGTGAAGGGATAAGAGCACAAACAGGCCCATCCTTTTGCTATGTGTTTCTAGTCTATCCCCACTTTCTTGCTGAAGAACCCCAGATGTTCCTCATTCCAACTATCTGCACACAACCAGAAGATGAAGGATGTAGCAGCTAGTACTGTGTAAGCCTACTTGGTCTTGGAGCATACTAGGAAGTAACAGCACTGGTCACTGGGATACTTCTGCCAGCTGGTTTCATAAATCCACTTGGAGGAGGATCCAGCAGTCACTGAGAGTGCTGGTGGAAGGAATAACCTTGCAGGCCCAGGGTCCTCGGCAGGGCTGAGGGAGGAAGAATCTCAAGTAATTTTAAAATGCTGTAGATTTCTCAGATCAGCCATGCAAACATTTTGATATACAATAATATCTTGTTCAGATGGATACTTTTATTCTGAAAAAGAAGCCTCCAGTTACTTCCGTAGCCCAGCCTGACAGTGACAAGTCAGATTGAAATTTTAGCCTCTCCCACTCAGCTTGAGGGATACCATGAGATATTTCCTCTGCCACCATCACTCATATAATAAAAATCCATCCCCGCCTGCAGAGATGATGATAATGCTGAAGCTTGGGTCGGCATCCCCCTCTCTCTCCCCCCCCCCGTTAGATAATGGAAACCATTCCTCCACAATGTGCTCTGTTGTGGGCAGTTTGCAACCCTGGCTCCGCCAGTCCTGTCATATCCCAGGACCCCCCTGCCTCCCCACAGGAGTGACTGGGACTCTGGCGGTGGCAGCGGCAGCTTAGCAGGCCCAGGAGGCAGTGGTGATGGCAGCAACAGCAGCTCTCTCCACCAGAGCCTCCCACACCTGCCCACTATCATGCATGCGCCAGCATTGACACTCACTCCCCCCTCCTCCTCCGGTTACCTCAAATGGTCTGCGTTGCCTAAAAGGGCTGTCTCCTGTTTTTATTTGGGAATTAGCAAAGGAGACAAAATGGCTTTGTGAGAGGGAGGGAACTAGCAGGAATCTTCACTTCCGTTTATGGGGATTTCCCCATTTTAATAATCAGTGTAAAGGTAAAACAGAGGTTGATTTTATTGAAAGAAAATAAAAGTATGCTAATGGAGTCTAAACATGCTGAGATGGGGGTGCTTTTCTGCATGGGGGATGGGGGGGTTGGTTCTCATCCCTACTTCAGTTGACCCCTGATTGCATACAATACAATAAGCACACACAAAGACACACACATACAAGACCAATTATGAAATAAAGGGATTAGTGGGAAATATAGGGGGGTATTGGGGTGATACAGCTACCTATCCTGTGGAGCAGAAATTCAGGGGGAAGTGCAGGATGTCTAGTGTCCTGGATGTGCAGTTTGGATCCAGGAAAACACAGAGACTGAGCTCTGGGTGCTATTGTTAGAGGAAAAGTGTGTCCTGAGGCAGTCTGATATTTGTGCCTCAAAATAATACTAAAAATGGCTTTCCCAGGATAGACAAAAGACCTGGAAAACGTGACAGTTTGCATGAGGGTTGAGGTCCAGTGTAAACTAAGGTGTTAAATGTACTTTTTGATAAGATCAGCTAGAGGTGTCTGTGAATGGCTGAATAGCGAGGAATGGACAAAGGGAACAGTTCTTAGGAGGGGTTTTGGATGTAAAATAGGGGTTGGGCTGAAACTCTGGTTGCCTTCCTCCTGTAATTCAGAGGGCTCATGGCTTACTAATCAAAAAGAAACCATGCTGCTTGGTGGCCCTCCTTTTGTATTAGATGGGAAAAGTGATAGACACTGGGAGCTGTTATTGTAAAGGAAATGTGAGGGGGAGAAGCTGAGAGGAGGCTGATAGGATTAGCGACCCCAGGTTGAATGGTGTTCGCTCTGGGGCGAGGTAATTCCATTGTCTGACATACATATGCAGATTTCAGGGTGGAGGGAGAGGCTGCAGCTGGATCAGACCAAGATGTCACACTTTCCAGGAATTTTGCCAAGGCACAATTATGAGGCCAGCGTTGTCTGGGATCCATCTTGTTTATACTTAGGTCAAGTCTGCCTGGCATATGTACACCTGTAAAGAGAGGGGGTCTGCCTGGCTTATACCATGGCACACAAGGCACAAGCTCTCAAGGCCACCATACAGAGTGCAGGCACAGGCAACCCTCATCTCCCTGATGCCCACCTTCCCACTTCCATTGCCTGTTATGCATTAGCATTGAGACAGTATACAGGGACACAATGCACAGCCTCTGTCATCTGGCAATAAAGGCAACAACCAGTTGCTCATGGGCCAGAGAAGAGCCCTGGATGGGCCAGTTCCAGCCCAAGGGCTGTATGTTTGACACCTGTGGCTTGCTGGTTCCATTTCTTAGAGCTGCCAATGAAAAATGCCTGTTCATAGGGGAGGTTCAAGATAAAGCTTAACAGAAACCACATAATCTCTCCTTTAGAATGAAGTGTTGGCCAATGGTTAATGTGAAAACTATAGTTGGAACTAGTTAATTCACATTTAATTCATTTAATCTGAAATGATGGTAATGTAGCTAAAAGTGACCCAAGTGACTTGGACTTGCAAAAGGCTTTTGAGAAGGTATATCACCAAAGACTCCTGAGTAAGCTTAGTGGTCGTGGGACAGGTCCTCTTATGGATGAAAAATCGGTTAAATGACAGAAAGCAAAGAGTAGAAATAAATGGATGGTTCTTGCAGTGCAGTGAAGTAAACAATGGAGTCCTACAAGGGCTGGTATTAGGGCTGGTGCTATTCATAAATGATCAGGAACTGCGAGAGAGCAGCATAGTGGCCAAGTTTGAAGCTGACAAAATTATTTGGGATAGTGAACTAAAGCCAACTATGAAGAGCTCCAGGAGGATTTCCACAAAGTGGGTGAGTGGGCAACAAAATGGCAAATGAAGTTCTATGTCTCTACACTGTAAGGTTATGTACATTGGAAGAAAAAATCCCAACTTCAAGTTAGGGTAATGGAGTCTAAACTTGCTGAGATGGGGGTGCTTTTCTGCATGGTTCCCATCCCTACTTCAGTTGAACCCCTGATTGCATACAATTTTGTGTCTTTAGTTTTTGCTTTGGGTTTTTTCTTTTAAAAAATTGTGGTTCTTTTGTCACCACTTTTACCCTGATCTTTCTCTGGAAGCTGTTTCTGAGTCACTTTTTCCCTTGTGGGTAATGTTTCTGTCCGTTTCCTATGTCCTGCCCATTCCCACCTCTCTCTAGCCCATTTTATGATGACTGGACTGTCATCATCAACCCACCCCCAATGAACAGTTTTCCCCTATTCACCCATTCTGCAGACACTCCATTGATTGTAACTGAGCTCAATTCAAGACATCAGCTGACAACTACAAAGCCCTTTCTGGCCTTGGACCCTTGTATCTGGGAGCATGCCTCTCCACATATGTCACAACACAACAACTTTGCTTATCTGAGCAAGGTGCCACCCTGCAAATGGGCAAAATCAAAATGGCGGCCCCCGCCGTTGAATGACCTACCTGAGAAGGTCGGGAAGGCTCCCATGCTCCTGGCATTTCATAAACTATGTAAAACAGAATGGTTCAGTAGAGCATTTTTATAAAGAAAACAGGGCTACATCATAACAAATTGGCCCAGGAAAATATATTGTTTGTCCCGATGTAATACCATGCTCTGCATGGTTTAAGGTGTCATGTTTTAATACTTATACTTTAGTCCAGGGCTATTTTTGGGCAGGAACACACAGGAACGGAGTTCCGGCTGGCACCCAAGTTGGCCACGCCCAGCAGGAACTCATTAGCATAATAGCCCACACCCAACAGCAGAAACTCATTAGGATTGGCTACATTGGGGGCGTGTGGCCTAACATGCAAAGGAGTTCCTGCTACAAAAAAAGGCCCTGGGTTTTGGCAACAAACAAGGTAAACAGAATAACAAGCAAAAGGTGGGTGTGGCTAGATAACCACACTTCTGGTAACATGGGGGTGCGGCCTAATGTGCTAATAAGCTGTGCTGTCAGGGGTGTGGCCTAATATGCTAATGAGTTTTTACTGTTGGATGTGGCCTATTATGCTAATGAGTTCCTGCTGGGCTTTTTCTACAAAAAGAGCCCTGCTTTAGCCAAACAACAGCTCTGTTTCAAGATTCTGAAATTCCTAGTCCTATTGCATTGCTTATTATCCTCTTGATTGCATTAGTTTACACTAAGTAATCTCCTTTCCACTTCAGTGAGAAAGGTGGATTATAAATAGCACCAACATAACAATAACAATAGATTTGCACACGCGCCCACACACGCCCAACAAGTTGGTACATTTAGAAATGCTAGTAATTGTGACAAACGACCGGGTGGGCTGGTATACTTATTCCGGAATATTCACTGCGAGTAAAACGTGACGTTAACCGTCTATGTGTGACGAAGAAGATGGTTGTTTCGGCTGCCGCTAGGTGGGCGAGGCACGGAAGAAAGGCGACGGGCGTACAGAGACGACGACATCTCAAGGGCTGCTTGGCAAGGGGCGGGCAAGCGAGTGGCTACTGCCCGCCAGGGGTGGTTTCCTCCGACAGCCAGAGCCACGTCAAGGGAATTTCCAGGCTGCCGTGAAGCGACGGGGGTGGGGTGGGGTGGGGGGGGGGGGGGGGGGGGGGGGGGGCTGCCGGCTGCCTCCTCTGCTCCCTCCTCTGGCCTCCTTACTCCCGAGTGGCGGATGCGGGTGGCCGAAAGCAGCCTTACGTGGCCTGCCTTCAAGAGCCAGTCGCCCCGGCCGGGTGTTGAAAGCGAAGGGGCGTTCCGGCCTCCGCCATGG